TTCATTCGTTTATTTTCATTTATTTTTTTCACATTTATTGTGGCCCTAACACATTATTATAGAAAACACAATAAGACAGAAAAAACAACAAACGCAAAATGCAAAACAGAAAAGACAAGATTTCAAAATGTTCAATGACCCTTTAGAAAAGCTAGTGAAAAGTTGTCTTTAGCTTTTTGTTTTGTGTTTTATTTGGTGTTATATTGTTGCATTTTGCACCTAAGAGCCATCATAATGTCCATCTATTACTCAGTGCAAGTGTCTAAATGACACCAGACTGGCACATATCTGTTTCCCACAACCTGTCTTTCATTCAAATAATGTTTTGTTTGTTTTATGTGTGCAAATGGGGAAAATCACAAAAAGAGAACAATGCTTTGAGAATTAGATACGGATTCCACACTGGATGTATTTTGATGCTGACAGTATGAAGTGCAGTTGAGTTAATGTCTTAGTCTGTGGATGCTAAATGCCATTAGGTTGCTACTTGTGATGGAGTGATTGGTATAAAAATGTCAGCACGTGTTAGAAATTGACCACACATTGTGGTTTTCTGGATGAGCCTCTAACTGGTGAAAACCCTGTGATGTGTTTTCTTTTGTCTGTCTCTAAACAGACAGATGATGTGGCTCTGTATCGCTCTGAAGGCTTCCTTGTGACACATTCATGCCTCCTGAACATCAGCGGCCCTGCATGCCTGCCATGTGCTCTGCAGTATTTAACTCTTCTCTCAATTGTTCCAGCCATCACAGATGTGAGGAGTGGAGTTGAGTAGAAAGGGCTATTTGTCCAAATGCCCAGAGCAGACAGTTAGGCCTTTTAATGAGAAGCTGGAGCTAATCAGGAATAGTGGCTGCAGGGTGGCGAATAGCAGTGCTGATTCATTTTTTTTTCATGGGTGAAACCAGTGCCACACTAAAGTCACATTTCTTTAAATTTTTATTATTACTTTTTTTTATCCTTGAAATTTCCAATAAATACTATAGTATCTGCCCTTCGTTGTAGCTTCGAATGGATTACTGGATCATATTACCTACTTCACAGACCTCGAGACCAAATTATTACTGAAGAAATAGAAGAAATAGAAACAGATGAAAGCCATTGAGTTTAGTCAGAAACTTCAATATTATTTCCATCTATCTGGGGTGAGAAAAACTGCTTTCATAATTATCTCTGTGTGCAACTTCAAAATGCATTGCACCCTGATGTTTGCGTGACTTAGCTTAGATTATGGGTGTTTAAAAGGACAGCAAGCAGGTTTCCCCAATGATGGACAGCTGGTCTATTAATAGCACATGTTGTAATTTGCATATATATTAAGTCACTAATTTTGCCGTTTACAATTAATAAGCTAATGTCAAACCTCCCAATCCATCTTTGGATTGCACGCCTACACTTGCATGTACAGCAGTATACAAGAACTGAATATTTGGAAAATAGTGAACAGCTTCCTAAAAACACAACAAACTACAATTACAGTTTGTTTAATGCCATTCTTAAAAAACTGAACTTATTTATAAAGCCTTCCTGAAGGTATTATTCATTGCAAAGACTTTTGTGCTTAAGCTTTCTACTAAAACTGTCAGCTGAGTAAACTATCAGAAGGGGGAAAAACCTCCTTGTAATTGGTCACATTTTTTTTTATGAGGCTGCATTTTGCAGGGGCAGCCTCTCGTCTGTGCTGCCGACGCTGATCAGTTTTGTTATCTAAGGTTGTGATGACTAAAGAAAAGCACAGAGTCACTGTTTCCCTGTGGGTAGCAAACATTTACACAAACATACATGTGTATGCACACACATCCAGCACGCACAGTCAGACTAAATCCATCACAATGGTATATTCCACTGTATTTAGTAGAAAATACCGTATTTGCATAACAAATCAGTGGCTGAAAAAGTTCCTCTACCTAGACGCCTGTCAGGACGCACACTGGAGCCAAAGCTTCTTTTTCTCTCTCGATGCCCACGTGTTAAACGCTATTTGTTGGGCTGCTGAATGGAAACCAGTGTTCACCCACTCCTTATCATGTGACCTTTGATCTGTTTGGACAGCGTGACCGACAGAAGAACTGCAGCACAACTACTTGAGTCACAGCAGAGAGAAGCTGGCACATTTTGTCTGTAAAAGTTTAAAATCAGATTAAATCATTTCTTTAAGAAGATAAAAAAAATAAAAAATAAATCTGTGGTATGTAAAGGTTTGTCTTCTTTATGAGGTCTGTATTGATATCAAAATATCAAACCATGACTCGCAAATCAAAGTTTGCCTTTGTGCTTTCATATAAGTTGTGCCGTAAACATACTACCGACCTACTCACTGTACTCAGGATGTAAACCTACCTCTGACTGTTAAAACAAAACAAAAAAACGCAATTAATTTCTGTGCAATTTCTGTCATGGTATGGTTTGTTCAAAAACCAAAACAAAACCACACACACACAAGTATCTGTAAGAATTTCCAGTCAGCTGGGA